TATATAAAAAAACATTGGTAGCTAGGTGAGGTGGTCTCTTCTTTTTTTTTTTTTTTTATAATCAATTTTTATTGAAGCATGTCAGTAGATTAATTTGGGCTTGCAGGCCCGCATTAATAGTAGAATACAAAGGTACATAATAAGAGCATCAGATATCCAAACAGTATAATTATGTGTGGGTAGAGTCTGATACAGTTGCAATATTAGGTAACACGAGATCGCTGATGGTAGTTGTTACCGTGTTTCTCCCCCAGGGGTACATAGCTACAGCTCGTGATAATCACAATTATTCAGATCAGTCCACCGAGGGCTAGGGCGGTGCGGGGTAATTAGTATGTATCGGTGTCTTATAAGCGTGTGGAAACTAATGGTTAGTGTGTCAGGTCTTCTCGTCGAGAAGTGTGGAAGTGGGGTGTGATGACGTCTCTTCTTTTCTCCTTCTGTAGTTTGGTGCTGAATGTATACAGTTTTATCATAAAACAATTGTATGGAAAACAAGGTCCAAACAAGGGACTAAAATTAAGGAATGGGGGAAGAGAAGCCCACCGCAGCTCTGTCAGCTTTAAAACGAGTCTCACAGGCTCTACACATTTTCCTTATACTCCCGCCACGGTTTCCATGTTTTATAGGATGAGGGGAGAGAGCTTCTGACAGTGGCTATAAGCTGATCCACTAGATGGTTCTCTGGGATTTTTGCTCGAACTTCCCTAAATTCTGAATGGTGCTGACTTGTCAAGATGTTAAAGTTACTTTAATGCATAATTTGTGTTCCTTCTACGTCATGCCCTCCATAAGTTTGGAGAACAAGAAGGGCCAGGGGTCTAGAGCGAATGGTCTGTGAAATATGTTTTTCTAATAGTTTCTGAAAACCTTTGAGAATTTGGAGAGAGCAGAACAAGACCACCACATGTGTGAAAAAGTGCCCCTTGAGCCACACTGCCTCCAGCAGTCATGTGAGGGGAGCCTACCCCTCTTGTGTAGTTGTACTGGGGTTGTGTGTCAGCTAAAAAGTATCTTGTACATCTATTCTTGTGAGATCACGCATACTGATGGTGGCGGACCGCCTGGAACTCCGACTGGGTGCCTCCGCCAATCACTGCTTACTAGTAATTCCGAGTACTTCCAAGCACTTCACCAGACACCATAACCACCGTCATCCCCGCAGCCAGCATTACAGCTTAGTTGGGGTCTCGCTGTCCTCCACCCACCCTGGACCCAAGACCGGGATACAGCTTCCAGTGGGTAGACCTCTCCTACTGCAGAGAGTATAGCAGGATAGCTCTTACAAGAGCTAGTGATTATAATCCGAGGGAGTATAGTGATTATAGTAATCCCCATAGTGAATATAGCTGTTTCCTCCAAGCATGAGGCAAGGCTCTATGTTGAGGGTGAAGGAGAACTGGTTTAATGGGAGCCACATGCAGCTTTATATGCAACTCCCCATGCAAGGGATTTTCTGTTACATATTCCAGGGGCATTCCCCACTGGACCTGAGAGGAGACTACAGTAAAACAAATACATAATTACTTTGGCTCTCAGGTCCAGGACACTCCCACACAAAACAGGGTAATCCCTCCCTTGTGCCTGAGAGATAATTGAGTGAGGAACAGTATTAAACGCAATTATATCCAGGCACAGAAAACATACATTTTAACAGTATCCCAAAAGTACCCCCAAAACTCATGGAAACCCCACAAAAGTCACATCCCCTGATACCAACAAATCCAAAAATCACCCAGATCGGTTCAGAGGTTTGGGATTTCCATGGAGGTTATAATTTGTCTGACCACACACGAGCCTCATGCCCAAAAGAGCTCCATTAAATCAGGCTGTGCAGTCAGTCTCTTTCAGGAGTACAAAATATACGTGGCGGTTCGTCTATTTCTCTCGTTTGCCAAACGGCGACTACCTAGCCGACCGCTTAGAACGTTTGCGGTTTAGGAGTGTTAATGAGGTGACAGAGGTTAATGAGTGGCACTCTCCGCATAAGGGTGGTCTAGTTGTTCGGGAGTTTGTTCGGAAGGTGAACGAAATAATAATAAAACAAAGGGAAATGTAATGTCCCGAACACATAGGAGAGTGAAACAAAGTAATTATAATCCAGGGACAGGGTGATCCGTCACACTGAGACCTTAGCGACTACCTCCCAGATCCCTTCCCATTCATCTCCCACCTAGATCTCTCTCTTACTAGAACGCATATCTCAGTGTACCCCATTCAGATGAGAACTGTCATCTTTTTGAGCAGGTCTTCCTCTCTGTACTATGCAAGTGATGCAATTCACATCACTGGCCTGCCCCTTTTTCCCCTATTAACTGGTGTTCCGTAAAGCAAGGGTATGCTATTATGATTAGTAAATTACTAATAATGCTAAAACAAAAATAGTAATTATTTGCTAACATCTAGCATGGCTATTCACTAAAGTGAGAAATAAATGTTAATTCAAAGTGAATTTTAAATTTAAAGGGACACTACAGTCACCTAAACAACTTTAACTTAATAAATCAGTTTTGTTGTATCAATTTTCTTCTCAAATCACTTTTGTTTCTATCCATGCAGTCCTAGCCACACCTCCCCTGGCTGTGACTGACACAGCTTGCATGAAAAAAATGGTTTCAATTGCAATCAGATGTTAATTTATTTTATAGGTTTTTGTCTCCTGCTTTGTAAATGGAACTTTAATCACACACAGGAATCTTCTGCAAAGTCTAGCAAGCTATTAACAGTGGAGGAGATAAGAAATTCTAAATTAAACAGTCTTTGCAATAAAGGAAGTATAAACATTAGATCTCACTTTCCTTGAAGTGTTAAGGAAGGCTGTGTAAGTCACATGCAGGGAGGTGTGACTAGTGCTGCATAAACAAAATTATTTAACTCCTTAATGACAAAGAATTGAGCATGGAGACTTCAAAGGCATGATCTATACATGAAAACTGATACATTAAACTAAAATTGTTATGGTTACTATTGTGTCTCTTCAACCCCTTAAGGACACATGACATGTGTGACATGTCATGATTCCCTTTTATTCCAGAAGTTTGGTCCTTAAGGGGTTAAGGTCAATCTAACCAAACTAGACATTCTCTAAGCTACAGAATTCTCTGAGAAATTTTTTTTTTATATTACTTCATTTATATATATTTACATCTGAAAAATCCTTTTTAAGACTATGGATAATGGACACATGCAGAAAAAAATAACAGTGGCATATTTATGTCTAAGTAGCTCTATCAGTGGCTAAATAACCAAGTTCTCAAAAATGAATGTGATACATAGGAATTAGTCCTATGTTTCTGGGACAAGAAACGGAAGATCGTCCCAGCAGGTTATAAGCTAATTCATTTTCATTTATGATAAAAATTGACCACACATGTAGCAGACATGGGAAAGTGGGGGAGGTGAAGAAATTTTTTATGATAATAGTTGCCATGGAAACTGTATGAACCCAGGTTAATTGGTCCATAATGTCTTAGCATAAATGCTTATTTTATATAGTTACTCACTGAGATATGTTCATGTGTGCAGTACAAATGTTAGAGAGATTCCTTTTCTTCCTTTGATTGTGTTAATGAGCCCTGGCTGTCTTTGAAAGCAGAGCAACAGTACAGATAATACAAATTAATTGACATTTTTAAAATCATAGCTGCTTTCTGATTGGGAATAAGAACAAGCGATATAGAATACCAAAAATGGGGCAACAAATGCCAAAAGGGGCAAAAGATGACTAAGAGTATCATGAGGATACACAGGTGAAGACACATTTTGGGAGCAGCTAAATGCCTCTTGCATTGGCCCTGCTTGGGACTGAGAATGTACCTGAGTCACACTTATGTTTTTATTTCTATCAAAGATTACATGTTTTTTAGGTAACACATATCACTAGGATAACAGATGTGGCTAGATTTTATTTTTAAAGAAACACTCCAAGTATCATAATGGCCTAGGCTCTTTTCATTCATGTTGTGTCCTTGTTTGTCTTTATCTAATTGATTCTAGCTGCAGTAACATTAAAAGCAAGCTGGGAATATTTGTTAGAAGTGGGGGAAATCCCTTCCTTTATGACTACCAGGCAAAATTAATGTACATAGCAAACTCATATTTGATACTGTAAATCTTTGAATATGGTACTTCGGATTAACTGACATATTCTCTACCAAACATTTGAAGGAAGATTAGCCTGTTCTTTTTCAATATTTTGTCCCCTTACCGCAGTTATCATTACATTTTAGTGTATCATTTTTTTATACCGTGTTCATAGTCATTGCTCATTTTAAGAACAACATATTTATTGGAATGCAGACGCAATATGAATGATGACAAAGAAGAATATACCTTTCTGTTAATGGATTATTTTTTATAAATATCCTTGTTCTGTTGCAAATTAATTCTATGGTATTTACTCCCACAAGTGATGTATTAAATTGTATTCATCTGCACGATAGTTCCAAAGCAGTCCATAAATATTTGAACTTTGAACATAAGTGATGTTTTGGCTCTTTATAACATTAGAATTGAAATGAAATCATGGCTGAACTAGTAAAGTACAATCAGTCACCTCTAACCGCCTTACATACAATGGCGTGTTCTGGGACAATTGATGTATTCAGTCAAAAACTGTGTACTGTAATTAGAAATGATCTAAAACGCTTTAAGAAGAATTGTGTAGTCAAAGATCCTCATAAACAGCAGACAATAGAGGGTTTACTATAGTGTGTGAATCAGTTAGCTTCACGACTAGACTGGCAATACACAAGAGTTCTGTTAGAAACATCTATTATTTCTGTTAGAAAGATATTCCAGAGTAACAAAAAAAAAAGACAGGAACTGCATATGATCCCGTGCATACCACTGAAGTGAAACATGGTGGAGGTGGTCTTGAGCATGTATGTCTACGGTTGGTACTGTCATATTTATAGTTATATACCCCCCTCTCATAATATTGTAAAGCGCTACGGAATCTGTTGGCGCTATATTAATGGCAATAATAATAATAATAATAACTGACTCTTTGGCCTTTATTCATGATGTGGCCTACAGCAAAGTGAATCGTGAAGTCCACATAGACATGTTATCTGCAGAGAGTCCAAAATGTATTAAAAGCATTTACTCCAAGCATACTGCAGAATCAACTTAGGATAACATTGTAGACATGAGGTTAGATCTGACATTGCAAGACATACAACAATCCTATCACCTGGCTTGCATTCCTTGGAAAAAAGAAACTCAACAGTCCTTACTTACAGGACTCACATGGTTATTTACTAGAGTGAGAGTTTAAGGTGAATTTCACACATAAGGCCAGAGTAGTCTAAGTGAAAGCATAGCTGAGGTACAGAATTTCTTCAGTTCGGCTATTGTGACCTTAAATCTGAAATTCACTTTAAATTCTCACTTTAGTGTATAATCCTGTGAGTAAGGATGGTTGAGTTCGAACTGCTTTATGCTTTGGCTCCTCCACTGTGATGCAGTTCCATGTGCCTGCCTTTGAATGCTGGTAAGGGTGCAATGAGTCCGGATTCTGCTAGCTAGACAGTAATATTTCTTTCATTACCGGCAGTTCTTCTAATGTGTGCAGACCACCAGCTTGGCATCCATAAGGAGCATTGGTAAGCATGCAATCTCATATTTGCTCCTTTACATTACATATACCTTTGAGTGTATGATTCTTGTGTTTTGCCAATTGTTCACTACTCCCCCATTTCTCTCTTTTTTTTCTATTCCCTCTCGATTTCCATATTTGAAAGTTCACATTTGTCTTGTTGTTACCCTGCTACATAACTTCAAGTTAATCTATAAAAGTTTAATACCTTTTTACATTATGTCACAAACTTGGTATGTTGATATAAATATCCTCAAATTAAAAATTAAACTTGTGCTCATTGATTCATTCCAAATCGAATGTGTTGGAGTACAAAGCCAAAGCATTCATCACTGTCCAGATACTTATGAACTTCATTGTATTACTCCATACCATCATGCTCTCTACACATGGTTGGACTTCCACTTGTTGATCACTTCTGCAATTTTCTCTTGTGGATTTATGTTTCCCTCCTGCCTATAACAATAGACTCCAAAAAGTCTGTATTTTTTACTGGGAAATCCAAGATTCCTCACTCCAGGTTCAAGACCTCCACATTTCATCCTTGGATTTACTATGGGGTAGCGTACGCTACCATCACCAACCCACCCAGCTTCACATCTGTCCATGAGTTGCAGTTTCCAAGCAGCATACAGTTGTCCCACTTTAGCTAAAGTGTCTCCTTTATCTTCACAAGCTTTGGCTGCCTCTGGAAAACTCATTTTACGATATGTCTTCAGAAAGTAGACTTTACCTAAAAAAAAAAAAAAGTATGTATATAAGATTTATGAACTAGCTGAGCATATTAGCTCCTTAATAATACCCATAAAAATAAATCTGTCAATTACTAATCATGAGAAATCAAAGGTTCCAGTAGGCAAAAATTAAAAGGCCCAAATGGGTCAAAATGTCTATCGAGTATGCATGTAATTTGTGCACATTGAATTAAATACAGTTTGTTGGAATGAAGATCTTTGAGTGCACCCTGCTCTTTATTTCTATAGTCTCAACTTGGGTTGCACCAAGGCAAAGTTTACTTTATTACGTAAGGGGAAAGTGTAAAGCCTTTCGTGAATATATACATACACATGTAGAGCAGAAGAGAAAATTCTAACTTATTCACAAGAACCTCTAGAAGAGTAGAAGTGAGGCAAATTCTCAAATAGCATTTTGCCAAACTTACAAAAATAAACACAAAATGGTCTACATGTAATTTGGTCTATGCGTAAGCGACTCTTTTTCTAGTGTGGTTCTGGGTTCTCATAGTTTGCTGTGTCATTTTGTTGTTGTTTTTGGAATTTTGGAGTGAACGCTACTATTTGATGGCTTTCCTTTTTGGAGATTTTAAAGTGGGATTTTCCCCACTCTATGGTGGTATTCCAAGAGAATGACTAATCACATTAATATTGGTATCAGTTTTATATTTTTGTTTGTTTCATGCCTTCAACTAAATTTGCAGTAATGAAATGTAAAAATTAAAATGAACACATATCTTATTTGTGTTTTAATTTTTTTCTTCTCACCTTTGTATTTGTTGCTTATTTTCATTGAACCATGTTTAGGGATGACTGTTTTATTGTTTTTAAAAATTTATAAATTGCTGATAACTATCTGCTTGTACCATAGACTGTAAGGTTCTGACCTATCTTCTACTGAATACCAGTGTAGTCTCTGTCTGTGCCATAAAATGTTTCTTAAACAATAGAAAAGGCAATTAAAATGTGACATCCACATAGTGCTGTCATAGAAATTGAAACAGGCAACACGAGTAAAGACAAAAGAGTTTTAATATCCCTTTACCATATAATCCACCAGTTAAGCCTCTGAAACTTACTCTTTGTTTTCTCAGCCTCATTCCATCCAAGTACCATTAATAAAACATTCAGCAAATAATAACATCCCTTTAAAAGCGAACTAACCAAACATTTGTCAGAGTACCCTTATCTAACCTATTGGCCCGTCCTTGATGCATCAATTAAAGGAACACTAAACACTACAAATAAAAAGGTCTAATTAAGTCCCTACATTATATTTTTAAAAATGTCCTACTTCTAGGACCACAGTAAGCTGACTCCACGGGTGTGCAGCAGTTGTGAAGTCTTTGAGGTATGGGAGGCAGGGAGTTCACATTCCAGAAAGCAGTGACAGCCCATCATTTCATGATTGTTTAGTTATGTGAAGAGGAGATAACTACTCATCTGCATATCTCCAGACCTACCGTTCAGATTGGATGTAAAGCAGAAGGCATCATAGCGCTCATCATCCTTATGTCGGTAGCCATAGTTTCTTACTCCTGTTGGGTTATCCTTTTTCCCACACTCATCACGAGGTTTGGAGATGGGATACTGGACAGAACCATCTTGTAACCAACCCGCATTACACCAATCTAGACCGCCAAGCCAGGCTTCATGTAGCTGGTCGTAGGAGGCCAAAATTCCATCTTGATCTTTACAAGCCTTCTCAGCATCATGAAAGTTCATACTATACCTACCTAATCGTGGATGGTAAGGAAAGATCACACCTGGAGAAAGGCAAAGTACACTAAATTGATGAAAATGAATAACAACACTCTCACAAAAACATAACTGTGTCTAAATTATAAGAGTGGGAAACAAGGAGAAAGAAAAATACACAACACAGAACCACAGCAATAAAAGAAGCATTGCAATGACTGAAAAAATAAATTTCACATCATGTATGTTTGATTACCTTTCAAGTCTAGTTTGACAGTTCCTGTGTCATCTTCCAACTCATTGGTCACCTCACACTCATATCTACCATAGTCATCAAGAGTAACATTATGAACAACCAAGGAGGCATCCCCAGGTCCATCTTCCTGTAAAACCGCTCGGTTCTTGTATGATCCAAACCCTCTCCTTTCCTGACCCAAGGCTACAAGGACATCACTGAAGGATGCAGGTTCACTAATCTTGGACCATTTGATGCGCATTGGACCAGAGTCTCCTCCAATATCCTCATAGTGGAACCGGCAGGGAAGAACTATGGAGCCACCCCGGTGTGTGGTCACTACACCTGGGGCTGTTTGTACAATCACATCCCCAGTCTCATCCTCTGTGTAAATAGAGAGTGAGAAGGAGAAAAGAATGGGGAACGGTGGGTGGAAGAGAAATGAAAACATGTAAGATTACGGTTAACAAGTGAGAAATAGCAAGAACATCAAGAATACGGGGATACTTCTAGTCAAAATTAGCCTACCAGAAATCACAATCTCCATCCTAACATTATAGAGAGAACAGGCTGGTCAGGCAGCACTACAGGACTGCAGTGCAATGGATAGGATAAATGAGGGACTGGTGCAAAGAGAACAAATTCTCACCATGCACATGAACAATTTTTCTTTGTCCCCTGTCACAATCTGCAGGAAGTAGTGAGATGAGAACAAAGGTGGAGAAAACACGGGAAAGAGAGGAGTGAGACATCTAAAAAGAGGGAAAGAGACAAGGGTAGGAAATTGAGTGTTAGTACGAAAGAAAGAAAGAAAGAAAGAGATAAATGTAAAAACCGGATCATAGAATAAAAGAAGGTAAAAGCAATGAGAGAATGATAGAGGTTTAGAAAATAATAAATAAAAAACAATTTTGGAGTACCAATTCGTTTTTATAGCTCTCACTCTCAGCTGAGCTTCAGGTGACTTCCCAAACTTCTCTCATCATCTCCCGTTTTATGACCTGAACATTTTCATCACTTTAAATGCATATTTTTCCTTTTTGTACTAATTCTCTCTGAAATCTCAACAAACTTCTTAAATGCACTCCAGCCTCACATATTACTCATAAATCTACAGTCTACATGCAAACATCTTCAATCTGTTTCCTGCTACATCCTCGAGTTTACTTGAGTAGTATATTGAAAATTCATTTTTGGATCTGCAATTTTGAAAAGCTAATCCACAATTATGTTCATCATTGCTTAACTTTCAACCAAGGTTTTTTTCATGTGTTGCTTGTACCATCTTCTTATTAGAGTTGGCCTATATTCAATTTTGCAGTTCTCCAATAGTTCTATCAATGGTTTTGGACTCCTTCTTAAAAGAGACTACTTTTAAAGGTCCACAATTTTGTTTTCCTGGCACTATATTGTCCTTAGGTGTCCCCACTCACCAACCTCAGGGCCCCCCTCCTGCTGGGCTTCCCTTCAGCCAGTTACCTTTATCCAGCGCCGGGCTCCCCAGACTGGTGTTGGTGACCTCTCCTCCCCCTCTGACGTCAGCTCCCGAGTGGAGCTGAATTTCTCAATGCTTTCCTATGGACGTTCTGCGTGCTAAATGTGATTTTCGCATTGAGCGTCGGGGGAAGCGCCTCCAGCGGCTGTCAGGAAGACAGCCACTAGAGGCTGGATTAAACCTGCAATGTAAACATAGAAGGTTCCCTGAAACTGCTATGTTTACATCTGAACGGTTAAAACCTGGGGGACCTGGCACCCAGACCACTTCATTGAGCTGAAGTTGTCTGGGTGACTATAGTGGTCCTTTAAACAACTTTAAGTGAGCAAAATAGCTGAAATATGAAAATTCTCCCAGTAAGCTATACTTCCAATTTGGCTACTTTGGCTTTAAAGTTGAAATCAACTGTGAATTCCCCAAAATTCTCACTTTAGTGAATAATCCTGATAATTTCCACTACTAGCTCCATGTCTTATATTATTTTCCTATACTTCAAGTAACATTTCTCAGACTCGTTTTCCTTTCAAATTAACAGCATCCGAATAACTAAGTATCATTCTAGGACCAGTTTAAAAATAACAAAATAACTTTTCCTCCATGATCTATTTTCAGTCTTGAACTCACAATATACTTTGAAATCTTAAAACACATGCATTTCTTGATACTTAAAATGCAATCTCTCCAACACTGAACTTTTAGTTAATTTTCCTTGCACAACATACCATGCTTATTATTGATTTCTTCCTTCATTTCAATCATTTTATCCAATGAATAATTTCCAAATATAATTCACTCATTAACTTCTATCTATATAAATGCAACTGTGTTCCATTTGCCATCCATTTGTTTCATTTTTTCTGTCATTTCATAATAAATGCTGCTGCCAGACTAGGCTTCCTTCCCCATTATTCTACTTGCAGTGATTTAATACATTGCCTGTCTTTTCAAGGATACCAATTCAAAATCTGATCCATGAATGCAAAGTGCTCCACAATTGGTCACTTTGGTAACACATTTTTCTCTACATCCACTTCTTTCCCTTGCATGTCATATTTTACATATCTACAGAGTCAACTGATCCCTTATCTTACTATTTTCTCAGTTGCAATAATTAACCCTACTAAAAGAACGCTGTCTGAACGCAGTCTGATGTAGTGGTATGGTATCAGTAGTTCCGTGGTACCCTCACATAATAAGTAGCCAAACAGTGTAAGACCAGTTTGACAAGTTACCTGTTTCCCCACCTTGTGTCTTCAGTCAAGGACCACACTACTCCAAGCGTGCTGGTGACTTGTTTATGATGGTGAAAGGCTTCAAAAAAATCACTATTTGTCTGTACTAAAAATGTACATTAAAATAATGATTAGAATCCCCCTTAACACCTAACTCTTGTATCAAAAGCTGCCACCACCTAGCCAATTTGTAAATGGGGACTTTCGATTACCCAGTAGATCAGATTTGAAAAAAAAAAACAAAAGCCACAAAACATAATTAAGCAAAATATCTACTATTAAACAGGTTTCTTTAAATAAAATGAATATGTATCAGACAAAGGCAGAACTTAAAAAATGAATATTTGTTCTGAACAAAAATAGTCACAGTGCAAACATGGCTCATTTGCATTCTATGGACTTTATACCCTCTACTCTATCTCAAGTTTCCAAGCCATCCCCGAGAGAGGTGAAGGGTGGACTGTAGTAACTTTAGGTTGCTTACACCACACATCTCACCTTTTTGGCAATCTGTGCCTGACACAGGAATAATTTTTACATTTGTCACAATTATCTGTTCCAGAGACATCTTACAAAAGCCATCTGTGACTTATTACAGAGGACTTCCCCAGTTCCCCCAAACAGCTTAAGTATACAGCTTAAGGTACACTAGTCATGTTTGGACTTCTTTTGTAGAGCATACTTTAATTGTTCTGAATATGTATAATAGGAGGCTCGATTATCAACCTCTGGGTTAATATATATATATATATATTTTTTATATATATCTCCTGATTGCTAATTGTTGATTAGCGTATGAAAAGACCAGAGGTCAAATGAGCACAGCCAGTAAAGCCTCAATTTAATATTGTTGGATAAAATTTTCAATCAGATTTCATATTTTTAAAAATATTTTAAATTTGTAATATCTAAATGTTTTTAATATATTGATATATTTTTATGTATACTTTTTTGATATTTTAACATTTTGAAAAAATAATTGTAGAAGTTTATCCAAAAATATTAAATCATTTGAAAGGCTTAACCAAAAAGATTAAATAAAGGACTACCTCTGTGAAAGGTATACATAGATGTCGTTTGGGTGTAAAGTTTCACACAGGGATGCTGGCTTAAATGGAAACCATAGTGCCAGGAAAACAAACTCGTTTTCCTGGCACTGTAGCTTCCCTCTCTGTCAAAGCCCACCCCCGTGGTGCAGAAGGGGTTACATACATATTTATTTATATTTATCACTAGACACATAATACATAATTATGTGTAAGGTTGTGCTATTTTTATACAGTTATATAATGAAGAACAGTTTTAGGTTAAAGATCTAAAAGTAGAACATTCAGCAGGAACATTCCATTGGTTTTCAAGGTGACTTCTCTGTTTTCCAAACCTTGCCCTTCAGTTGCTCTTAAAGGACCACTATAGTGCCAGGAAAACATACTCGTTTTCCTGGCACTATAGTGCCCTGAGGGTGCCCCCACCCTCAGGGTCCCACTCCCGCCGGGCTGGATGGCAAAGAAAGGGTTAAATCTTACCTTTTTTTCCAGCGCCGGGCGGGGAGTTCTCCTCCTCCTCTCCGGTTCCTCTCCTCCTCCTTAGCTGAATGCGCATGCGCGGCAGGAGCTGCGCGCGCATTCAGCCTGTCTCATAGGAAAGCATTCATAATGCTTTCCTATGGACGCTTGCGTGCTCTCACTGTGATTTTCACAGTGAGAATCACGCAAGCGCCTCTAGCGGCTGTCAATGAGACAGCCACTAGAGGCTTTAGAGGCTGGATTAACCCTAAAATAAACATAGCAGTTTCTCTGAAACTGCTATGTTTATAAAACAAAGGGTTAATCCTAGAGGAACCTGGCACCCAGACCACTTCATTAAGCTGAAGTGGTCTGGGTGCCTAGAGTGGTCCTTTAAGATAACCCACTATCACACTATTTCTAAACTATAGAAATTATGGTTGTACTACATCAAGGTATTACACTTTACATCTTATAAACAGATTTCCTAAATTTTTTAGCACTCTAACTTACAAACTGTGTCCTGACTTTTTATGCAATCATGACGCAATTCAGTTGCATTTACAATTGATTTACATAGGTGTCGAATATGTTACAACCTTATATAAAATAAATAAAAATGAATACACTATTAAAAAAAAAACTTTATCTTTAATGTTAGAAGGTTTCTTCTAAATTATTGAGCCCCACTTTTTTAAAAAGTAATAAGATTACCTGTAATCCAACACAAAGACAATCTATTTTCTGCATTTTCTGTCCATGGAGAGATTATTATTTCTGGTCCAGTTCAATACTTCTCATAGAGATGCATTGCAGATCTATGGTGCATGCATGACAAATGCTGCGCTTGGCCAATCCAATGCTTCTCATAGAGAAGCAATTAATCCATTGCTTCTCTAAAACAGGCGTAAGCAGAGTTCAGTGGCATAATGCTCTATGTGAGGCATAGGCAACCTTCGGCACGGCAGATGTTTTGGACTACACCTCCCATGATGCTTTGCCAGAATTATGTGTGTAACAGCATTATGGGGGATGTAGTCCACAACATCTGGAGTGTCGAAGGTAGAGTCTATTGGAAAAAAATTGGAAGTCTGTCTGACAGCTACTAGTGATGAACTTTCAATCAAATGTAAACATTGCCTTTTCTCAGTTTTACATTCTCCAAGTAAAGAGGCCGCAGCTAGACACCACTACCACTATATTAACATACAGTGGTTTTGGTGCTGATAGTATCCCTTTAACACATGAGTGAGGGAGCAGTAAGCAATGAGAGGAAAGGTGATACTGAATAAAATATTGAACAATGACATATTCCAAGAGATTAATGAGGAGCACTGAACAATGAGTGAAAATGAGAAATAGACAGAATTAAACAATGCCAGTTAATAAGAGGCCGTAGAAAAGCTTTGAAAAATAAGGGAGATAGGAATGAATGAGCACTGAAAAATGAAAGACTGTTTGTGAGTATTAAACAATTACTGTGGGAGACAATTGTAACACAATAACAATGTGCAGGAGAGATAAACAATGAATAAGATATCAAAACAAAAAGAGTTAATAACCATACAAATGTGTCATAAGACTTGAGAGTATTAAACAATGGGAGTGGGTGACAGATCAGACTACAGGGCAGCTTTAAATAATTAAGGGACTTAATTAAACAGTTCTAGTGAGTTTACAACCAGCTTGCAATATTTAGCACAAAATAACAGAGTTGCAAAATAGCTCCAACTCAGACAGTTTATTGCAGAGGTTTCCAAAACATAGCTCCCCAGATGTTATAGAACTACAACTCCCATAATGCTTTGCATGCCTTTAAAATGCCCTTAAAATGACAACTTAAAATGACAAAGCATCATGGAAGCTGTAGTTTTAAAACACATGGGGATGCATCCCTGGTTTAGTGATCAGATCCCTGCGGTTATTGAAAAAGAATGGATAAAAAGTGGGGCAATCAGAGAAACTGGAACTGGAAAGACAGGCTGTGAAAAAGAGAATATGAGAAAAGTATTTATGTGAATTAAAAGGGAAGTTAAACCAGCATAATTACCTTCTCTCTCCTGTCAGCATTTAGCTCAGGTTTCCAGGACTGTCCTGTAGACCTAAACTCTTCTCTAGATGCAGTATATAGAATGCACCAAAATACAGAGCCCCACTCCCCCTTCTTCTCCTGCAGAGCTTGTGCTGGGATGGAGGGGGGTAGTTCTAGGTCTCAGTACTGCAGTACTGTTTTACTACTGACATTCTGCATTACTAGACTGCAATATCAGACTGCATCAAATTGCCCCAACACAGCACAGATACAGAAAGAAAGCAGAATCTCTGTGCATGTGTCCTTGTGGAACACTTTATAATTACAAAAGTTTCTTGATATATTTATATAGTGGGTTTGTTTTCACGAACTGGCTCATTTATAACAATCACTAACATATTTATGTGGCAATTCTCCAGTAGCGTGCATACATGGAAAATACAAAAGTGATTTGGCATTTAGTTTTATATCACATTGAATTGTTTTAGTTTATCATTAAGCTTTCTTGGAAGAGGGCAATGTGTGAGAAAGATGTAGGCCTGCCTGCTGGGTTTCACCAACTACCTGTCCTGCTCCCACTACCCTACAACAGTTAAAATTTTACCCAATTAAAAACTACTACAGGATGTTGACCCCTTATTCACTATTACATAAATAGGAGTCAGAGCTGGAGTTGCACTGTATGAATGAGGACCACCTGGTAAAAGGTATACCTCTTTTATATAACATGTTACTCACCTCTACCTTCAGACCTCCACCTAAATGTGTTTCTTGTCGGAAAGTGGAGCTGGGTAGAGCTCTATTTGAAAAACAGAAGTCAAACGTTTTTGCCCTTGCTCATTGGAGCACAATTAGAGCTAAATACAGGAAACCAATTTTAAGCTTGTTGGCAATGTTATACGGATTTGCACATATGATAGTCTTGCCCTTGCATAGTCCCTTTTTGGAGGGCTTCCCATTCAGCCATTGCAATGTGGTCACACTAGATCGCCTCTTCAACCCCCATCTATATTTCACTTTATAAAAAAGTAATTAAAGGAACACTTTAGGGTCAGTAACACAAACATGTATTCCTGAACCTACCCCCATTTCCCAGTACACAATGGGACCAGAGCATGTATGTAAAACAAAAATGTACTTAAAGTGAAGCAATACCTTTTTTCACTTCCCAATTCATGTACTGCATTGCAATAGTAATTTAGAGGCATAACGGATACTGCAACTGCAGATTTCCAGTGATTTATTTAGTGATTTCCAGTGGGCTTTTATGCAGATAAAACAAACCGTAAAAAAAAAAATCTCATTCCAGATTGTACCATTTATCTTTAATGGTTTACTCATCTGACAACCTTAAACTGGGAGGAAATGTTGTGGATCAAATCAAATGTTTGATTATTTGAAAATCTGTCCCTGTCCAAATTATTAAGTATATGCGTGCACGCTCCTGAAGTAATTCACACCAGACACAAGTTTCAGGTTGATGAAGAACTTGAGGAATGTTTAATCGGGGGGCCAGCATGCCCCTTATAAAGAAAGAATACATCATATGCATAATATTAGATAACAAAGGAAAAAACATCAATAATTGGTTAGGTGTTAAGTGGTTCATCTATTGTACATCCTACAGGGTGTGATGTCACTGTTATCATGAAATGCTCCTCCAGATTCCAGCGCCATCTTGGTACATGAGGTGGTTAGTCGACGGGAGGGGTAACCTCTAGTGGCCATTTTGAGTAAATATTGAATAATGCTGGTTATTGTTATGCAGAGTAAATAGTCATTTTATTAAGCTAATATTATGTCCATAACAGTCCCCCCTTAAAATTACTATTTACTACTTAAAACAACTACTATATCTAACCCTAATACTGTCCCTAATAGGCTGCCGCACATCTGTCCCACAGACCTCTCGAACTCTTCTGGGTGCTGCGCATAGGACAAGTAATGGCTTGTCCACAACCTCCCCTGCAACAGACTTTGCCTGTGAAGACAGACGCTATCCCTAAATGTCCCTAGAGGGAAGTAGTTGCATTTTAGTGTGGTGGGACTGTAAACGTGTATGAGGTGTATCACAGTCTTCGTCATCAATCTCCTGGTCAAGGAAAGTCGGAGTGGTGCGGTCAATGGTTTGGTCAACTGTCTTTTGTAGGTATTTCTGAACACATGGTAGTACACAAAAAATAAGGATAACAAAGAGGAGCATCACGGTCAAGACAGCTATACCTACTTGAACAAGCACTTTCTGCCAGCCGTTCAACCATCCAAACCATCTATCCCATGAATTAGTGACTCCTAAGTTCCTCTTTAACTCTTCTGAGAGACTTTCAAGCTTCTCTATTGCCATGGTTACCTTCCCATTGGGGCCTGTGTTATCTGGGATAAAAGTACAGCATGTCATGGTGTCTGAGAGTATTTTACACACTCCTCCTTTCTCTGCCAGAATCATGTCTAGGGCCATTCTATTCTGAAAGGTCAATTGAGAGGTAGACTGTAATTGCTCTGCCAGGTCCTGGAGGGTGTAATTGACAAAGTGTTGCTGGTTGTAATAGATATAATTGATCCAATTTACATTCTTATTAGCAGTGATGAGCAGGATCATGGATTCTAATCCTGCCGCAACTTCATTTCTGTCTTTAAATTCGTTTGGCACCCCCCTTGGCACTCCTATGGCATCTATATATATGTGAGGGTTGAAACTGCCCTTTACAGGAGTGTCTCTTTTTACTCTGAAATATGTGTGTGGTGAATCAAGAGGGCCTTGGTGGTTGTCTGATATTATATGTATGGGCATGATAACTTTAGTTAGGGTGCATTCTCCCCATCATAGGCCTTCCATTCTGGATCTAAGTTGTAAGTCACCACATAGCCAATAAATGTCTCCCAGGGATCTAGCTTGGTTTACTAGCAGGGCAACCGGGGGTTCTCTGTAAGTAGCACAATACCCAGGAGGGAATTTCCCCATACCTGTGTCACTGTGCATAGTATAGCAAGTGTAATTACCTGGATATACTGTGACTCCATCAGGTGGCTTGATATCCTTTTGGGTTAGTGGATATTCTTTTTTTCATGACTCACATGCTGATGAATAGTTTTTTGACTGTACATAAAGACTTATGAAACATGTTTCAACGTCATGGGGTAAATGTAGAGGAACTGTACCCAGATGGGGTCTGACCCCTCCACAAACATAACAGTTAGTTTTATTGAGTGAGTTAGCATTATATCTCATCCATTCAAGCCATAGGTTAGTATCTGAAATGTCAATCTCTACTGCCATAGTGTCTTTGAAGGTGGGGTTAGCTATGGCCACCATCTCTTCGAGAGTCTTAATGTGTGCTTTGAGAGGGTTAACAGTCATGTGTGGAACCTACCCACTCATGTGATTGGTACATGTCTTATAAATAGAAAGTCCACAATTTATTGTATGAACCACCCCTTTTCCAGTACATTCCCATCACGTACTCACCAGCATCTCCACGACTAGGGTGTTCTATATTTAAAGTAAGCTTCATTGAAGTCGACCCTGTTGGTTTATGTAAAGTCATTCTGTGCAATAAGGTTTTCCAATTTCTGTCCACCCTACTTAGGGCACTCTGTGGTCTGTAGCGCCATGGTCGGCCTGTGTTCCAACCCGCCGCCTTCCAAGAACTACAGTCATGTCCCCAATGGTCACCTGTCACACAAATGTATGGGTCCATTTTTTTAGGAATGTCTTTGTATATTGTTGATTGTAATGATTGTGGAAATACACAAGAGACAATATCACAGTAATCAAATGTAAATGTGGCTACATGTGTGTTGTAAGAATTATACCAAAATGTGTAAATATGATTCTCTTTAGTAATAGCAACTTGTTGGGCCTTTATCAGGCCTAGCAGCAGGAAAAGGTACAGGAAGCTCATGACTCAACAAAGTTTGCTTCCTCTGGAGCTGGAACTTTCTTGCAGTGAGAGGCATGTATCTAAGTGTTCTACCCGGCCAATTTTACTGTGGTGGATGTGGTTAGGAGGACTTGGAAAGGGCCATCAAATCTTGGCTCAAGAGTGTGTTTCCTCAGGAATTTCTTTACCAGAACCCAATCACCAGGAAGCAACTTGTGGGTGCCTGTATTGGACTCTGGACCTGGAATGGAAGAAAACACCTGTGCATGGATTTTGGTTAAGGCTTGAGAGAGAGAAGTTAACCATAGTCAACCATTGTATCTGACTGGAGTTGGAGTTGTTGAGGAAAGTAGCAGCCTGACCTAGGAGCTGAACCAAACAAGACTTCATAGGGGGATAAGCCTATCTTCCCTCCTGGTGTGTACCTCACACTAAAGAAAGCTATGGGGAGACTTTCTGGCCAGGATAGGTTAGTTTCTTGGGCCATCTTAAGCATTCTGGCTTTCAAAGTGCCATTCATGCGGTCTACCTTACCACTACTCTGTGGGTGATAGGGTGTGTGGAATGCAAGGGTCATCCCCAGTGCTGCCCAGATTTCTTTGGTCAATAGTGCAGTGAAGGATGTACCTTGGTCACTTTCTATTACTTCAGGAACTCTGTATCTGCTGACAATTTCAGTAAGTAGACGCTTTGCTGTGGTCTTGGCAGTTATATTAGCAACTGGGAAAGTTTCTGGCCATCCTGAGAACATATCCACTATGACTAGTGCATATTCATATCGGCCACTTTTTGGCATTTGGATATGATCAATTTGGATCCTTTGGAAGGGATAGTGTGGCTTTGCCAGATGTTTGGGAGGAGTCTTTTCCATTCTACTTGGATTACATTTGGCACAGATGGTGCAAGATCTGCAGTAATTCTTGGTCAGCGAAGTGATGCCGGGTGCTTCAAAATATTTGTCAATTAGAGAGTTCATGAGGTGCTTGGACAAGTGTGCTGCTCCATGTGCACATTGAAGCACTGCTGGATACATGTTTCTGGGTAGGCAGAATTTGAGATTAATGGTATACACCCCATCCTGAAGGGTTGCCCCTTTTTGTTTCCAACTCTGCTTTTCTTCTGGGATAGCAGCTGCTTGTTGTTCTCTCAGAAGCTTGAGATCCTTGGGTAGAGTTTGCATAGCATATATGGGAGTTTCTTCAGCGGACACTCTTCTGTCCACTTCCCTTGGCTTGCGTGCAGCGTCTTTGGCAGCTTGATCAGCTAGATAGTTGCCACATGCTTCTTCTGAATTCAGTCTTCCATGGGCCCTCACCTTCAGTATGGCCACTTCTTCTGGGAGTAGTAAGGCATTCATCAGTTCTTTGATTGCTGTGTCATGCTTGACTGGTGTACCAGTTGCTGTGAGGAAACCTCTTGTCTTCCAGATTAATCCAAAATCATGTGCCACACCTAGGGCATATCTTGAATCAGTGTATATATTAGCATGCTTTCCTTCAGACATTTGGCATGCTAAGGTAAGGGCTTTCAGTTCAGCTTCTTGAGCAGACATTGATGAGGTAAGTGAAGAGGCTTGGAGTACCTGATCCACTGTTGTAACAGCAAATCCAGTATGGTACCTTCCTTGTGCATCCGCAAATCTAGAGCCATACACAAACAGGGTGAAGTCGGGGTCTTGCAAAGCAACTTCATGCACTGTTGGGAGATGTGTTGTCTCCATTTTCATCTGTTCAAAGCAATCATGAGGAACATCTGGGTCTTGCTCTGTAGGAGGGGTATCTTCACTTATTGCTGTGTGGTATTGAGGATAACCAACTGTTTTGCAATTCACAGTTCTTTTGGTAACACCCTCTGCGGTAAGCTGATCTTGGTCTGTAATGCTCCATGTGCTGGCCAATGGACCAAGTTCTTTCCAGGAGATTTCTGGTGATTTGGTGAAAGAAACATGAGGAATAGCCAAATTCCAGTGATGATACATGTGTCTTACTTCCATGGGTTCTAGTTCCCTTAGTGTCACAAAACAGGTCTTTTAAGATGAGCCGTACCTCCACCAGTCTGAACAACTCTTGTAATGTGGGTCAGGTCCTGGGATATTTCTGTACCAAAAGGTACAGTGAAGAGAAGGCTGCTCTCTGGAACTGTGGGTTTCCTTACTTGCAGATCAAAGGCAACATCAGGATTTATGTCAAGGCTGTACCAGTAATGTGTTATTCCCCCCTGGGAAGTGGCAGAAGAGTGGCCAGATTGAGTGTGTGACATCTCTGTAAAGTAACATTGTCAGGTAGGAGGAGGGTGGCCTGCAGGCGGAGATGTCTCTGAGAAGTGAGATGTTTCGGTTGAACTTGATTAAGGATGGATGTAATGTCATGAGGTGCAAGTATAGTGAGCTTGTGTCCAAGGATTAAATCATTTGTTTTATCCAAGAGTGCACTTGCAGCAAAAACAGCTCAGAGACAGGAAGGACCGCCTCTGGCTACTGGGTCTAATTGGCAGGAAAAATAGCCAAGAGGACGTTGGCAGGAACCATGAGACTGTGTGAGGACTGCAGATGCATGACCCATCCTTTCAGAGACAAAGAGTTTAAAAGGCTTCTGATAATTAGGAAGGCCCAATGCAGGGGCTGAGGAGATTGCTCTTCGGAGAGCATAGAGCTTCAGGAGACAGAGAGAATGGTTCAGTCTTTAGAGCAGCATAAAGAGGTTGCAGGAGAATAGATGCTTCAGGTATCCAGGCTCTGCAGTAGGAAATGAGGCCCAGGAAGGCATGGAGTGGTTTGTGGGCAGTCAGTGGACAGATGGCTGTGATTCCTCATATTCTGTCTCTGGTGAGATGACGGGTGCAATTGGGAAAGACGATGTCTCAAGAAGACCACAGAGGGCTGGCACCATTGTAGCTTCTTTTTGGAAGCCTTGCAGACTTGTTCTGCTAGGAAACAGAGTAAATCTTCTGAGGTTTGTTCAGCAGTTGAGAGGTCATCTGCACAAAGGAGAAGATCATCCAGGTATTGGAGGAGAACCACATCAGTGTGGGAATCCTGCAATGGTTTGAGAATAATAGGCATGGCTTTTGCAAATTGATTTGGTGAATTCTGTGCACCTTGTGGTATGACTGTCCAGGTATAATGTTAACGGTCATTGGTAAATGCAAATAGATATTGACATGAGGGGTCCAGATGCACACTGAAGAAAGCATTTTCCAGGTCTATCACAATGAGGAATTTTGCTGTAGGAGGTACCTGTGAGAGCAGTGTATGAGGATTGGGTACGATGGGGGTATCCAGAACAGTGACATCATTGATAGCACAGAGATCCTGAACCATACGGTATTGGTCTGGCTCAACTTTTTCAGTTTTCTTCTTCACTGGGAACAGAGGAGTGTTGCACGGAGATGTACATTTGACAAGAGCACCTTTTGCCAGAAGGCTTTCAACCTATTTGGAGATGGCAAGGGCCTGAACAGGCTTCAAGGAATATTGCGGCCTTCGGGGTGGATTTGCACTATCGAATAACTTCACATTCACTGGAGGAACTTGAAGGCGGCCAATATCATCTGGGCCGGTGGACCATAATTTAGCTGGGACCCTATCCAAGGCACTAGGGGAATCTAGGACCCTTGCATTCTCACGGGGAGATTCCATGTGAAGCATCAGAGGTAAAGAACAGAGAGCAGAAGTGTCCTTACGAGACCCGAACCTGTCCATCAGGAGTGAAAGATATAGAAGCTTGCAGGTGGGAAAGAATATCTGCACCTAACAGGTTAATAGGACAGGTTGAAGACACCACAAATTGTGAGTAGATCAGGATATGTGCACACTTGAAGAGGCCTGGTTAGTGGATTATTTCCACTCCAACACATGAAACATCAAGGTTAGACAGGAAGGAAGAGTCAGGCAGGTCTTGTTCTCTGAGAACGCTACGGGCTGCACCTTTGTCAACTAAAAAGGTGGTTGGGTGACCTTCAACGGGTAGGACCACTGTAGTTAGGGCCCCCATCCTTTTTCCCCTGTAGACACTGCCATAACAGGGGTGTTGGCAGGGCTGCCATCAGAAATTTTGGGGCCCCTGACACAACTCAAGGTCTGGGCCCCCGGTGCCTGCACCCGAGTCCGCCCAAAGTGCTGCCCCCCCCCGAGTCCGCCCACAGGGATGCAGTGTCTGCAGGGCCGGTGCAAGGATTTTTGCTGCCCTAGGCAAAAGTAAAGTTTGCCGCCCCCCATGTGACATCACAATGCCCCACTCATTTGATCTGCCATGTTAACTAATGCCAGTGCTGCAGTGCCGCCGTGTTTACATAAAAAGGCCTGCAGGGACAGGCTAGACACCAGAACCCCTACATTAAGCTGCAGTGGTTCTGGGGACTACAGTGTCCCTTTAATGTGAGGTAAATTATTAGTGATTAGTGCCATGAATTAAATACTAGATTGCCTACTTACAACCAGATGAGGATGATGATGGGGTCTAGCTGCCGTCTGGCTCCACTGGTCTGGTGTAGAACAGGCTCTCTGGAGGCGGTTTGTAACTGTGGTCACAAAAATCAATGTTTTGGGAGAACGGGAAGCAGCTCAATTTTTTTGAGGGCCCTTTACACAGCTCAAGGTCTGGGTCCCAGGGTCCACCTTCATGTTCCACCAATGAGTTTGTTCACGGGGGGTGGAGTGTGTGTGGGGGGGATGTCCTGATGTGTGTAAGGAATGCATTGTGTGAATCTGTGTTTGTATGTGTAAGGACTGCAAGGTGAGTTTGTGTATGTATAGGATGCAGTGTGTGTGCGTCTGTAAGGGATGCATTGAGTGTGTGTAAGGGGTGCATTGTGTGTTGCTGTGTGTAAGGGATGCATTGCTTGTGTATGTGTGTCTGTGTGTAAGGCATTGTGTGTTTTTCTGTGTGCAAGGGGTGCATTGTGTGTATGTGTGTGATGGATGTCAATCTCTCCCCCTCCCCCCCGTCAATTTCCTTCTCCCCCTCCCCCTGTCAATTTCCTTCTCCCCCCCTCTCCAATTTCCTTCTTCTCCCCCTCCCTCTCCAATTTCCTTCTTCTCCCCCTCCCTCTCATTTCCTTCTCCCCCCTCCAATTTCCTTCCTTCTCCCCTCCATTTCC